ACAGGTCCACTACTCACAATATGAAGGAGTAAACTTGTAAAATGCACTAGGGTGACATTGCAAATACATCTAGCAATATTATTATGCGTTTAACCTGAAGAAGAGGAGCCTTCTTGCTGGAAGAATTCTAATAGCTGGGGGAATCTCCAAATTAGTTTGACTTGTGAAAAGTGCGCAGAATATCCCTTGTGAACAAAGTTTAGGCTATTCATTTACTAGTATCGCGAAATACTCTGCAACACGTACCAGTGCTGTTCGATTTACCAAAAAAATAAATCGCAACTTCAAATAAACGTTGTAAGGCTTTCAACTCATCACCCCGTGTTATTGATATAGTTAAATGGCTAAAATCGTTTGTTAAGTAGGTAATCCCATTAACGACGGGAGATAATTTAATGCCATACAACCATTAAATGTATTGACATTGCAATCCCTCACGTGAGCATCATGCTAGCTACCGCTCTAGGATGTTGAGCTTCTCTGTATAATTAACTACAATGACTTTGAAGATATAGAAACATAGCTGAGAAGGGCGTGGATCAACAACGACCAGGATTTGGAGCGTAAGATAATTGAAAGTTGTTATATTTGAAGAGACAGCAAGCGCGGCATAGGTTTCAAATGATTCATATCTGCAGAGGCTGTAAGTGCGAAACCCACCCTGATCAGCGTTGGCGAGAAGAATAGCGGTCAGCGGAATCAGCATGTTCGTGTCCATCGTGAACCATGAGGTGAAGATCGGTGTCGACGTGGTTTCGATGGAACGTTGCCATGGTGCCGGCCGCACGCCTTCAATCCCGACTTTTCGCCGTCGAATCTTCGTCTGCTTCAACCGACAATCGATACAGAGGCTATGCGTTCGTCGTCTACAGCAGCAGCACACCGCATAAACCAAATCGCTTCGCTTTCCCACACACTCACACTACTCTCCTCACATGTTTATTTGCCGCTGCCAAGCATTGCCTCTTCCCTCTCGACGACCATGCACTTATAGACCCACAGGAAAACTCTATTAAGTGCTCTTCATTTTTGCCCGATTTATCACAATTTGTTCCTCCTTTTCTGCGGATAATGATGCAGCTACTGCAAGCAACTGCTGCCCTTTTGATTGAATAGTGTTCTCAGACAGCCATTCTACTGAACTTTTCACACATTTATTAATTAATTTCTCACTTCTCACATATCTAACTCAATTCTTATTATACCATGTCTAACATGTTAAAAGTAGAAGCTCCACCAGCGTGCATTCACTGGAAAAGCGCCAAAATCAAAGAGCTGCGTGAACCTTTGCAAAGCAGAACAGGGCGAGAGCAAAGTTTGCAGTGCTCTCCTCGGATCTGCTGCGTCCCAGTGCATTTGTATCAGATCGGAGAGGAGCACATGCAAAGCAACGATCTAGCTACACATCAACTTCCTGCAAAATGTTCACTTTTTGAAAATTCGTGGTAATTAGGAGACTCGTTGAGAAAATCGATCCTCTACCACTGCGCACTTGCCTCGATGCTATGCGAAAAGCGCTCATTCTTCTCACGAAACTGCACCTCCCTACTTTCTACTTCTTTATCTATTGAGCTTATTTCATTTTTTCTCATTCTGCCGAGGAGATTTTTTATAACGCGTCCTTCTTCTCGTTTTTTTCGAGTTTTTGAGCAAATCCTTTTACAAAAGCTCTTTTGACATTCGTTTAATTCCATGTTAATAGAAGTTTTTGCACTTTCATCAATTCTAATAACATCGCTGTTCTCATCTTTACAAAGCCTAGAAAGACTCTTCAACGGTAGATCTATTTCATAGCTATGCATCTTTTTTTGCTTATATTGGTTTTATTAAACTCCCTATGACTAAACTGATTCAAGGTATCTCTCTCCTTAGTCATGCTGTTTGCAAAATACTTGTCTGATGCTGTCTAAACACCTCCTGAAAGCTCTCGTCAAGCTAAGTAAGCTTGCCTGACGTTCCCATCCATTCTTTTTATTCGCCTTTGACAATAGCGTTAACCTCATCGCTCAGTGCTTCGAACAGCTTCCTAACAGTTGTTT